TACCTGTTTTCATTAGATTTCAAATATATGAAAAAAGGTGAAAAACTAAGGGATTGACTAATGTAATTGCATAGAGTTGACGATATTCATTTCGAAGTTTCAACTCAAAATAATGAGTCATTTGGAAACACTCGCATACTTTTTCTTATTGAGTGACTTTATAAAAATGAAAGAAGTGAAAAAGAGCTTAACATTCTACTCGATGTGATACTTTTGTAAAATTTTTCCAAGGTGTATTTAATCGCAACAATAACCTATTCAATTCAAAGTTTCGGCTGAAGAGTCATGTTGGAAACACTGCACTATAGTGATATCTAAGAAAATCTCCAAGAAGTATGTGTTATTCAACTGACCTAACTTTTCTATTATGAAAAGTCCTGGATGAGGTGCGTTATGTTGACAAGAACAACCCTCAATAAGAGAGAGGGAGAAATGGGGTTTAACGTCCACTCGACACAAACTAGGTCATTTCGGGACTAACATATGGTTCAATTTTATTTCAATAATTCGCTTGCACGTAGGGGTCTTTAGCAGTGGGAGGAAACCGGAGGACCCGGAGAAAACCCACGAGGTTGGACAGGCGACCCTACTCCTTGTCACGTACAACCGGGGATTCGAAACCACGCCAGTCGACTCAATGACAGACTTTATGATACAGATCGCGCACGCTAACCATTCGGCCATCCAACCCCCCAACCCTCAATAAACTATAACCTATACTAAAAAAAAAATAATTACTAATGTATTTGGTGGATGTTACGAATGGTATTCTCTCAACGTTTTCAATCACTTGTACGTGTTATATAGTTTATTGCTCTATCCAATTATCAAAGTCCCTTAAATTGTTAAATAATTAACATACCTTACCCAATCAAAGTGGCTTAAATTAAACTTCAAAGAGAAAAGAGAATTGTTCAAGAATTAGAGACAATTCATCTAGTGTAAGCCAGCCAAAACTAAAACGGAAAGGAAATGCATCTAAAATTTCAACAACATTTTCATTGTATTTTTGCCAAACTGTGTTTACATACGATTCAATTGACTGTGAGCCACGGTGGCTCAGTGAATATAGCGCTGACTCCGTATGCAGTAGAGTAGGCGGAAACGCCGCTGCCCTATCAAATTTCGCTTCATAGCACACTCGAAGCCTGGATAGAATCGCGGGGCCTCTAACGCGACGAAAAAAAATTTTCATATCCTTTTGAATGGCACGCATGCGTAACACAAAATTAAACGGTCTGTAATACAAGAATAATCACGCACAATATTGGATCTTCAAAATCGTGCGAAATATTTTGGGAGAACGCTAGTTCGGAGACGGTGTTGCGGATTGTGGGTTAGGGTTAGGGTAAGGACTAGGACCTGCAGATTTCGTCAAACAGGGCTAGTCCTAACCCTAACCATGGGAACATAATCTAGGCGGTACTGGATAACAGTTGGTATCAAAATATTTCGCACGATTTTGAAGGTCCAGTATTGTGCAATAATCACAAAGAAGGTTGAGGGATTGCAGACTTACCCAGTCTCCGCCCAACGCGCTGTTAGAAGCCTAGTCCGATCACAGAGTGGAACTTCACAGAGAAGGTTGAGGGTTAGCTCAGTCTCCGCCGCCGCGCCGCTAGATCGATTACCGTGAAACTTTCATCTGGAATGTTATTTTTTTCTCTTTTTGCCATGAACCGCGGGGCCCTGCACCTGGTCCTACCAGGGACCATGCCTAAGCCGGGCTTTGGGCTCATTATACGGTAAACCAATATTAGATCAGATGCATGGTGTCGATAACAAAATATCTTGTCGTTGATAACATTGTCGACACAGCGGGATTTCTGACTACTGTTCGAATTCTGGACCTCGGGTTTAGCGTGACACCAGATTAACTATACACACTTTTCTCGTCAGTCCCACAGTCTCAACACCTTCCATGTGTGAACAAGGCGTGACAACTGACAGACCTCATGAAATTGTATAACCACGGGTTTCCTTTGCAATGGACCTAACCCCAGAATAGTCACATGCATCTAGCGCTGTGGTTCACATTTTCTTAGTGTGCCGTTCAAAATTTCGCGGCACACTTAGGAAGATCTCGCGGTACACCTGTGTGCCGCGGCACACTGGTTGAGAATCACTGATCTAGCGAAATGTTTGAACTATTATCTATTTTCATTTTAAAGACAAGACTAGAAAACGTGAATTTATGTAATATTTAGATTGTCAAAGAAAACAGCGTCACTTTTATTACGTGACACAATCTGATTGCTTAACATCAACTAGATTTAACAAGCTGACGACTTCGAGGGGTATTAAAAGCAATCGTCGCCTACTTCTTAGAAGCTCTTCTGGCGATCAAACAAGGTCAGTTACAGTTACTTAAAGGGACAATAACACTCTTGCTGGCTTGACAGCTCCCGAAAATAAATAATAGTCTTATTCTAAGTATTAGATGTTTAAGTATCCTACCTGGTGTGTAAATTATCCATTAAATCCTATTTTACTTGTCCAGAGGGTTCGAAAATATTTTTAAATCCAAGTCACATTTGAAAAGCTTTACGCTAGGCTTTTCAAATCATTTAGATGAATTTTTCCAATTTTTTAAATTAGGTGTGTTAAGATGAAATTTGTATCATCAATTAATTGGAATATTGTAAAATAGTACAATTTGTTGACAAGAATAAAGATTGGGACATATATTCAGTTACAACAAGAGGGGTATCGAGCCTTTAAAGAGGAACTGTAACTTTGGAAATGTTTGCCTGTCAGTACAATAATAATTTTCGATTTGTTTTGGTTTTAATATGCAGTTATATCGGGGTTTTCTAAATCTGCATGAGCCATAGTGACTCATGGGAATATAGCTGTGCTAACAAGGGAGTTCCTGACTCGATACAGCGTCCGCCGAATAGGTCCTAAGTCAGTCTCGGTTTTCCAGCGTGGTTTACTTATGTTCAGGATGGAGAGCTTGGCAAGACAAAGGTTCTAGTCGATCGGGTGGTACAAAAATCTAAGGCCCCCCAAGGACGCTTTGCTGTGTCAGCAAATGTCCCCGTGGTTTTCTTCATTATCCCGGTTGGTGCATAAAAGTAGGACATAAAACCCTATTTAATTTCATTATATCGAATTCCAACTGTCAAGGGTCTTTTACGTGCACGCCAATGTGTACGCGGGACCTCGGTTTTTTCGTCCCATCTGAACGACTAGACAGCTGTCCTTGTCAGGCCCTCCGTCCTGCATCACTGACAAGCGGTAACCACGCTGGAAAATCTGGATGAACTTTCCCGGCCAATGCAGGGATCGATCACCCGACCTCCAGGCTAGCGAGCCAGCGTCTTACCCACTTAGCCACGTGATCCCCCTGTTTGTGTGTACAAGGTTCGAATTCTGGCGAGTTGCGAGAAGAACCTGGGGGATTTAAACATTGAAATGAAAATTATCGTATGTTAGTCTTAAAATGATCGAAATATTGTGTGAACGAAATGTTAAACCCCATTTCATTTCCTTTTTCTTGCCAGAAATTAAAATCACAGAGAATGTCTCTTTAAGTATGTTAAGAGGGTTTTAATGTCAACAGTAGAATAATATTTCCTGGCGAGTTATTGATCAGTATAACGTTCTAGTGGCATCTACTTTTCCTGTTACACATCACCTGGTTGTGGTCTAACAGGTATGGGCTTTGCACTTCTATTTTAAAATAAACTATTTTCAATTTCACTCTTACAATACCCCCTCACCCCCGCACACCCCTGCCTGTATTGGACGTGCGGGGTCGTCACCTCCACTGCTACCTCTCTGCACACCACTTCTTACATCAGGGTTGTATTAAGCTTGCATGGGACACCTGGCTGAAAATATCGTTGGGGCCCTGCTGAACAGTGAACAGCGGGCATTGCTTTACTGTAGCGTCGAAACTTTTAAGCTCAGCTTTGTTAAACAATATCGTAACATATGCATTTATTTATATTTTATGGTACAAAATTTCTTTTAGAATTAATTTGTGTCTCTACTATTTTAAGGGCCCCCGGTTCAATCAATTCCCTTTAATCCGGTCAGGGTTTATACCTTTAACAACTTAATTGTTTCTATACAGCGAGACTAAAACAGATAGATAAATACCTAGTGATCGAAATAATCCTGATTAATTACAAAATAATTCAGTCTTGAGCAATTTGTCATCAAATTTCTCCAAATAATTGCCGGTTTTCGTTGGTTTGATTGCAGTTGATCGGTTTGTTTGTTTGCTTTAGAATTTATTTTACTATGACAAGCTTGCTTAAAGTGGAACTACTGATAGTAATTCGTAAAATCCAACCACGTAGCAATGTTGTTAATAAGTTTAAATAAAGGAATGAAATGAAATGGGGTTTAACGTCTTTCTGTTACTGGGTTAATGTCATTAGCCGGGCAGCGACATACTCTGATATGGAATTCAAACTGTCATCTATACCAATGTTGGCCTAGAAAGTGCTGTCATAGCACACTATGTTGTGTATGCCCGTCTACATCAGCCCACTCGGAGCAGAACAGCAGGGCGTTAAACACCATTTCATTTCATTTCAAATAGGAGAATTAGGTGAAGTGGATTGAGTAACGGGTGAATAAGATTACTGTAATTCTACCTGTTGGATATAGCGGCGAGTGGTGTTGTAGATAAAAGGGATTACCGGATTATCTGAGTGTAAATCAACCAGACAATTGTTTAGTCGTGATTTAATCAATCATATCATCCCTTATTCAATCACATCTTCACAATCCAGATATTTTATATACTACTTTGTGTTATAGATACATAAAATGAAATAAAATTGGGTTCAACGTCCACTTCTTTACGGCAACTTGGACAAAGACGGGGGCAGACAGTCAGGTGATGGGATATTTGTATTGGACATCGTCGTGTGATTTGTAAAAGCTTCGAAGTTTAATAGGTCGACCATCAAATGAAGCCAAAACAAGTGAACTAATTGACATACACTTAAAAAAGAAAACAAACCCCTCCATCTCCACCCGGTTCCCTGTAAACCACACTCATTATCGAAACAACGTGTACAATGAATCAACTACTAGTTTTAACGCTAATCAACTGGAATTCCTGGCTAGTGACGATGACGGGAGTTATAATAACAGTTTGATCTTTTCACAAGTGACTCGTAGTCGACCCGAGGCAGGGATTTTCCTATCTTGTTGCTAACCACACGGTTCACATAGTGGTCAGAACCAATAGTTAGACAATCTAATTCCACGGAACCAAGACAGGGTTACCAAAACCTGTTTCTATTTCATAGTGAGTGCATGGATAGAGACAAGTTATAAATGGACGTTCTGAAGAAATTATCATTTCTGAAGGAGCTGATCGATGATAAGATATAGTGTGTCTAAATAAACGATTGTTTCAAGGATGATTACCCTAGCCGAAGCAGAGCAGTAGGACGTTAAACCCCATTTCATTTGATTTATCAAGGATGTAACAACTTTCAAATTGGATATATATTCTTTTGTCAGGTTAGATATTGTGATCTTTTTGGTATCCCTGAATTTATCTCTTTTGTATCCCCTCCCTTTTCTCCCCCGCCCCCGCTCGCTATGGTATCCCCGACATTTTATATTTCATCTTTTTTGTATCCCACAACTGTTTACCCCCCCCCCCTCCGCTTTGTATCCCCTGATTAAAAAATTGAGTTTGAATCTGAGTGGGAGGCGTGAAGAGGTGGCGCATATACATTTACTACAATGGGCGCCGTGACGGATTAACCATTGCCAATAGCCAGCGCCAGCTCCCTTCCCCTTCCAGGTGTATGGGACCCTTTAAGTGCCCCAGGGTATCCAATTTGTCTTAAAACAGCAATGAATGGACGTTTGTATAATCGTTCTAATGACGTAAAAACAGATGTTCCATGTAGAAATTGATAGAGTATGATAGCCTTGAAGTAACCGAAGTTTCGTATTGACATTACAAGAAACGCTTTATTACTTGTTTTAAAATAACCGAAGTTTCGTATTGACATGACAAGAAACTTTTTATTACTTGTTTTAAAATAACTGAAGTTTCGTGGCGACATGACATGAAGCTCCATGTCTTTCTTACTTATCTCAAATTATCCGAAGTTTTGTGTTGAAAACAAATTTAAACTTCGAGCATTTCTGAAAGTTCCACTGGATCTTTTGAGCTTGGTTTCCCTTTGTCAGTGGCGCAAAACGGGGTCTAGTCTCCGGAAGAGGCGAAAAACCGAGGTCTATGTTGTCTTTATTAGCAAAGATGGTTCAGAAAACTAGAATGTTAAACTCCATTTCATTCCATGTCATTTCATTCACATGCCTTTCGAAATGTTTATCCCCCAAACAACCCCACCAGCACCCACCACCTGGACATTAATGTATGTCCCGTTTCCGATTTATTCTTAAATTATTACGATACTTGTGGTAATATTTTTTTCTAAGTCTGCTGCACGTCACTGTAATCTAACTTTTAATCCATCCTGAACCGCTCGGGCTTTACAACTCCCACGATTCAGTTGAAACCGAAGCGCTGTATACGAATACTGACGATTTGATTAGCCAATACGGTCACATGATCGGAACATTGGTATCATAGAATATATGACTATCGTACAACATAAAATAAAATTACACGGATGGTCGTGATTTTTAAAGCATTGAAACACGACCGCCATTTCATAATTTAATATAAAAATGGATAATCGAAACTTTTTTTTATTATCGTACCAATGGTAGAGCAATGAAAATCAAGATTACGCTATTCTTATCAAAACATCACACATTCATAACTACGCTCCGAATAAAGTAATTTGACTGAAATTTCCATTATATTTCTACACTATTACAAAAAGCTGCCACATAATTTATGTGTCACAACTATAATCCTAGAAACCGATGGGTTTTATTGAAATAAGTAAGGGGGGGGGGGGAATGGTTAGCACGTGCGCGTTGTATTATAAGGCCTGTCATTGAGTCAACTGGCGTGGTTTCGAATCCACGGTTGTACGTGACAAGGAGTAGGGTCGCCTGTCCAACCCCGTGGGTTTTCACCGGGTCCTCCGGTTTCCTCCTACTGCTAAAGATCCCTACGCGCAAGCGAATTATTAAAATAAAATTAAACCATATGTTAGTCCCGAAATGACCTAGTTTGTGTCGAGTGGACATTAAACCATACCTCTCTCTCTCTTTGAAATAAGTAATATATGGTGGGGGTATAGATTTGATTAACCAATCGAAGGTTCTTATAATCTCCCACGTCTTGATATTAGATAAGAATGGTGTATCGGGCACCTGTCTCATGCCTTTAGATAACGGGATTATGTTGTGTCATAATTGTGGATATATGGTATATACGTAAATAATCTTGTTTGTGAATGTTAAGTATATGGAGTTAACGATAAGGTTACTGTGAAACCAGAAACCGTTATAGCTGTTCATAAAGCAAAACCGTCCGTGAGTTAGGTTTAGCCGTAAGGCCGACTGATATGTCTGCTGTTCAAAGAATAGATCTTTTCTTCCATTCATACAAAAGAATAGTATCTTTTCTTCCATTTACACAGAATGACAGGACGATTAAATTAATACCCGAAATGTAACCTGCACTCAAAACAAACTAATTTATTTCGGGAAGAACGAATGGTGCCCCTTTATTTCTACAATTCGTTTGCGCGTAAGAGTCCTTAGTAGTGGGAGACAACCAGGCTTGAAAACCAGACCAACTGACTCACTAACAGCCCCATGTACTGAAGTCCAAGCGTTAGACCACTGTTTAACCAAAGTGTAGGGCTCTCATGGAAGTCGTGGACCCTGGGATTACACATTAGAGCCGGCTGCTCAGATCAAAGACCATGCTTTCTTACAGTAGTGGCCTGTGCCGTACAAGAGGCAGGATATGCCAACTCTTTCTAGAACACCTGGTACCACTTATGTAGATTAGCTTACAGCTAACAAACTTGGATGAATAAATAGAACTATTAACATAAATTGCATCTATCTTTTCAGATGATGGTTCAGTCAGAATAAATGGCGACTTCAGCAAGAAACGGCAGTGGTAAGGAAGTAGGTGCTGTAACCTACAACCTGAAAGAACAAAGATGCCTGGAAAAATCTATTCAATCTTTGAGCATAGAACAAAATTATTCTTTGAAACTTCTGGAACTTAATCATCGAGTTCTTCGCGTGAACCACCGGAAGTTGAAGGATCGCGTGAATAGAATCAAATCCAATTTATCAGTTGAAGATATCGTGGAATTACGACACCAGGAATCCGTTGGTCGACTCAAACCAGTGTCGAACTGTTTAAATTTAGGAAGTGCGTCAAAGATCGCAGCTGCATCTCGTCGTTTAAATCTCGGTTCCGTCACCGATCGATCGGATGTTTCCCAAAAGACTTATAAAAAGCTCCCCCGATCGGCCCCATCTCAAATCAGACGCTACTCGGTATCGGGAGAATTTGTAGGCAAGAGAGATGACACAAATACTTCCGACAGACCATATACCAGCGTCGGTATCACCCCAGAAATAGTTGTTAACGCACCGACGAAATCTTTTATGAACGCAAAGGATAACACAATCCAGCAGCGTCCTCATACAACGGATGTCAGCATTCGTAATAGGAGATCCTCCTTGAGACCCAACACACAGAACTACTCCACAAACCACCATTGTTCAAGTCATTCCCTCTTCTCGTCCCATTCCGCACTGGAAAAGGAGTTAAAGAGTCCTTCAAGGGCAAGCTCCATTCAGAAACTCCCTACCGTCGTTGATGACTCAATTGATAGCAACCTGGGCGAAAATCTATTCGAGGAACGCCGACAAGACCTGCTGTGTCTTGAAGCAATCAACTCCGATATGTTAAAGAAGCGCCAGGAAGTCTTCTTGCAGGAAGTAGAAGAGTATTTAAAACATTCCAAAGCCCCTGGCCTCTCTGGTTCTGATCTCGCGGATGCAGATGTTGATGGCGCAATTCAACTTGAAGAAAAAGGAAGTCGACGACATGTTGATTTCGATGGTCGACCACCAGCAGAAATATACAAGGATAGGTTGTTAAATATGTGGAAAGGGTTAAACAAATGTCGATATTTACGTGTCCCGGACAGTGTCATAGACTTATCCGGTATAACAACTCTAGCCAAAGATCAGATTCAGTTAAACTTATTCTGGAAACACAATCCTGAATCTCCGGTAAACTGACGCATCAGTAGCATTCTATGTCAAATTTATGACAAAAACGAAAATAAAATAAAAACAAAGCAAGACACACAATAAAATAGATGACAATGTCGTGCTTTATGAAATCCACTTGAATGTATAGTAATAATACAAACGAGGCCCAACTTATTTGTTCCAATATGGCTGCTACGAAGTCAAGTTGTGCTTTATGAAATCCATTTGAATGCATATCAATACGACAAGCAGTCATTGTTTTTGTAAAAAAAAACTAAATGTGTTTATATTCACTTTCATGATTGCTTTCCCGAATTGGTTAGCTGGTGTTTGCAAATAAATACGAAACTGTAGGCTGGATAATAAAACCGGTCCCAATAGTAAACCCCCTCCCCCACCCCACCCACCCCACCACAAGAAAAAAAAATGATAATAATTTTAGACTTTATTTATTGTATTATTTATGTTTGTGCTAAATAAATCTATCAATCTACCACACTGACATTCAAATTGCATTTGTGTGAGTGTGCCGGACAATGGATGGAATTCCCCCCCTTTTGTCCTGTTTCCTCCTACTGCTAAAGACCCCAACGTAGAAGCAAATTATTGAAATTAAAAATTGAAACATATGTTTGTCCTGAAATGAGCTTGTTTGTGCAGAGTAGGTTAAACCACTTAAAAACAATAAGCCCAAGATTCAGCAAATTCGAGTACAATCGACGTGAAACTTTGCATGTTTGTTCTTGGACAATTCCAAGATGGCTGCGATAAAGTCATGCGAGGTTTCTGTTCATATTGTACGCAACTGAGTAATAACACCGATATGACAGTCGATCAGCATTCCTAGGTTATTTTTGGCATTTCGTCTGGGGCTGTTATTCTGCATCGACTGGGCTAATGAAGACGGGTATAATATTACAGTGTGCTATGCGGGGAACTTTGCCCGGGCAGCGGCGCTACGACCTACTTTTGTATTGAATTCTAACCGTCAAGCGCACTTTTACGTGTACGCCAATGTACGCTGTTATCCAGCCATGAGACTAGAAGATTTGCACGGGCATGAAATATCCTGACAAAAAGTCGTTTACCACCTTCACTACTTAATGATTTGCTTGAAAACAAAATGTTAGATATCGACATGATCACAAGCTAGTATGGTTATGTTTTCATATATTGAGTACTTGTGACGGATGAGCGTATGGGGTCGAACTCTCGACAGTTGCAACGATCATACACATTATGATTTACAGTCTTTGCGTTAGACTCCCCTCCGCCCCCCCCACCCCTTTCCCTTCCGCACAGACACATCTGGCAATTTTCGTAAATGGATTGCCTAATTCAGATAATACTTAATTATTTGATTGTTCCGTCTTTAAATCAGGAATATTCACTAAAACCTGGCAGAAAATGTATATCCGAACACTGTTCTTCGGTTCAAGACAACAGAGTCAACACACAGTGCCACCCAAGTATTAATCCTTGAAGTTATACATAAGAGTTATTCCCCTTACATTACTCTTTCACTGCAATATCGCCTACCTAGTGAAAGCACACCTTTGCGACCCGGGTCTGACAGACGTACTGCCACTAGACACTTCGTATGTCGGGATTAACTTTCACGTCCATCTAAACTGTCCAAAAGTGCCAGTCGTGTTTGGGAGGCTCGCCTCGCCAGCATAAGGTGGGGGAAACGAGAACGAAACAATTTGTCAGCCGCATCCAAAGGCACAGTCTTGCCTTTTAAGATACAGTGTCTAATGCAATCTGTTTCATAACGGTAATGCAGAAGCCTTCTTTTAATTTTGTATAAAATGACTGACCTTTAATGTCATGTTCCCCGTCCAGTATAGTTCTACGGTTTTCGTCACATCAAATGGCGCCCATAACTCGTGTGTTATTGTTTACATCGGGCGTAGTAATTCAATCTAGTTAGGGCAGAATTTGTGCCTTTTACTCATTTTACGCCCCGCGAACTATTTTATGTAACTAATTACACTAAATAGGATATATTTCTTACCCATATAGACTTCAAACACCTTTATTGGAAAATCTTGACAAGTAATACGGATGAGAGATACATGTAAGGAGTTGGGTGCGGGGGCTTTTTGGGCTTTAGAATACGCCCACAAGGATCGCCCTGATCTCCCAAAACCCAAGCAACGCCCCGAGCGGTCATAACCGAAGTGTCTGGATTCTGGAACCCTACACCGCCCTGAGCGGTACATTCTCTAACATCACCGCTGCATGATATAAAACTGTTAGTCGCGTTGAGCCATTTCTAATTAAAGGAATTGTGTCTAAGGTTACCTTGTGTGATCATCAGAGAGTTTGATTTCAACAGAAACTTGAATAGTCCCCCATTGTTTATTCTTGTCTACGTGTTTATCTGATACTACCTTTATTAACGGCTTTTGTTCTCCTATCACACGGTTATCTCCCTTGGGATCCATTCTCCTCACGCTAACCATAGGCTTGATCTACCAGACCTGATTTAACGATATTGTCAGTGATTCCCAGGAGAGCGACAAGAACGAGTAAATAACTGGAATAACGGTGATTAATCTGTCGTAATAACATTCTATACAGTTTGATCTTCAAACATCACCGGTTGATCGAATACACTCTATCTTCTGATCGTATCACCTCAACTACTACATAGTTAGTCTTTGATGTCATTGAATGTCTCATAGTGGAGAGAGCGAGAGATCCATGTATTATTATTTGTTTGTTTGTAAATATAGCCTACTCGTTTGCATATTTCCTACTACAGAAGTATACAGAAATGAAATGAATTGGGGTTTAACGTCCTACTGTTTTGCTCCGAACTGGGCTAATGAAGACAGAAGTATGATGTTTTGAAATTTAATAACATAAATATACGTTTTATAAATTTATCATCATTGCCAATCTGATTAAAATACAGATCTATATTTCGTTTCGTTTTTATATACTTTCGATGGTCTACACTATATGAAGATCTGACCGGTTGTTGCTACAAGTCACGTCAGAGGTCATATGACCAGCTTTTGACCCTACGACGTGAGACATTTTTTTAACCAATCAGCATTGATGTTACTAGTGGATTACCCACAGTTCCGTGCAAAACACGCCTAAAGCTCGCCGTAACAGACCGTTTCATTGGCTAATACCTCACACTATTCAGAACACGTCAACGATAACAACTATTCCAGATCCTAGCGTAGTAAAGACAAGTAAAACGAAATTTTGAACTATAAAAACAAAACGAAATAGGATCTGTGTTTTAATCAGATTGCATAATTGCTAATGGTATTACATGTTCATTAGCCCAGTTCGGTGCAGAACAGTAGGACGTTAAACCCCATTTCGTGTCATTACATGTTATATATTTCAGAATTGTATATAAATGTCGACAATTAACAATCTAGTAATGAATGGCATCGTTTGAAATATAATTGTACATATCATTTTCTAGTTGTAACGTTTGGTCTTTGACTCAGACCTATAGTACCGGTACTGCAAGAAACTTATTCTTAACGAAACTGGGAAGATACGGGCTTGAAGTTACTATCATCCCGAACTAGACCTCGCGGCCCGTAGCCAAGAGGAGTTGGGGGGGGGGGGGTCGAGGGACGAATGGTTAACGCGTGCGCGTTGCATCATAAGGTGGCGTGGTTTCGATTCCTCGCTTGTACGTGACAATGAGTAGGGTCGCCTTCCAACCACCACCAACCGGACACACAACTCCCTAGTGGATCGCTCTGGCTACGGACCTATAAAGCTCCCTGATGTGCTGTCACTATCGTATCCCCCCCCCCCCCTCCACACACACAAAACTCCCCAATGTGGTGTTACTATCTTACAGTCCCCGCCCCCGCCACCCTTAGCGGACCTCCCTAGCCAGGTGATCTATAAAGCTCCCAATGTGGTGTTACTATCTTACAGCACCCCCCCCCCCCCACCCCGAACATATGCGCCCCAATTGGATCTCTCATGCTTGGAGTCTATAAAGCTCCGAACTGTAGTGTCACTATCTTGGCAAAGAGGTTTAATGTATAGAATATGGTAATATAATTAATTGAGTGTAATTCTCATCGTGTCTACGGTATTATAAAACCATCAGTAATCTGTCTCCAGAGACGACGTTCAGCTGATTAAATTATTACCAACAACTCTCTTAATGTCTTCATCAACGCCTTTTATAGCCTTAAAGAAACCAGAATAACACTTAAAATAATGGTTCCGTAAGGACAAATATCCATGCAACGAGACGCTGTCCCCGAAAAGGGTATTCATTCACTGAGCAAGGCATCAATATTAAAATTTACTGTTGCAACACTCACCCCTTACACACTGCATGACGTATGCCGGTCTTCACCAGCCCAGTTGGAAGACAATTTAAGCATCATAGGGGTAAGACCTGGATACGATACAATAACTAAAACACAGATGTGCCTGAAAACAGTATTCATTCTCTGAGCAAGGCATCCAGACAGGAAGCAGCGCTCACTCTCTGAGAAAGGCTCACAAAAGGGAAAACAGTATTCATTCTCTGAGAAAGACACCCAGATGGGAAAACAACACTCACTCTCTGAGAAAGGCAAACCAGGCGGGAAACACTATTTACTCGCTAAGAAAGGCACACAAACGGGAAAATAGTATTCATTCTCTGAGAAAGACACTCAGACGGGAAACAATATTCACTCTATGATAAAGGCACCCAGACTGTGAAACCCCCATAGCACGCGGTGTTTGACGTATGGCCTGTCTTCATTAGCCCGACTTGTCACGCGCAGGACAAACTTTAGCTAAAGATAAATATGGTAGGGTGGCCCATGTGCTCTACAGAAATAAAGTCCACCGCTGATAGTTCGAGACTACCACTGAAGCGTACACATTCGCCGTGCCGAGACCAACTTTCTGACAATATGATACTATAAATAGCCATGGCACGTGCAATTCTCTACAAATCTATCAACTATTACAGCCGTAAAAAATTTATTGTTGACGATTTTGAATAGCAGTGAAATTAAGCTTCTTGGTTATTACAGCAGATTTAGAAATTACGTTCGTTTCATTTTTTAAATCGCTTTATCATTAACTGTACCGTTAAGAGCGGCATCTTTTGGTTTAGTACAAATAATATCTCTGAATCACTCGGATTAGACAGGAACATGATACTTGCAGTAGTTTCATTTTACTTTTACAAGCTTCTTAAAACGATTGTTGAGCTACCTAACGTGCTTATTTCTAAATTCAATTTCTTGTTCTAGCTTTCTGTTATGTTTCGTAAAAAAGTAGTCTTGATTATCCCGACCTGTCATTCAGACGTAGAATGGTCGATAGACTGGTTAAGCGAGACTAATTTCAAAACAAGGGCACGTAACCTATCTTTTACTCAAAAGTGTCTGGATGTAATGGACGACACTTGGAACCAGTTTTCAGTCTATTATTTATAGATGATTAATGGTCATAGCTTATTAAGTACAACATGATCGTTTATTTAGTGACTATA